CTGGTCTATAATTACCAGGGTTGTCTCTACTCCCCTTCTTGAACAAGGGGACAACATTTGCTAGTCTCCAGTCTTCTGGCACTATTCCTGAAGACAATGACGACATAAAGATCAAAGCCAAAGGCTCTGCAATCTCCTCTCTAGCTTCCCAGAGAATCCTAGGATAAATCCCATCCAGCCCAGGGGACTTATCTATTTTCACACCTTCCAGAATTGCTAACACCTCCTCCTTATGAACCTCAATCCCGTCTAGTCTAATAGACTGTATCTCAGTATTCTCCTTGACTACATTGTCTTTTTCCTGCGTGAATACTGACGAAAAATATTCATTTAGCACCTCTCCTATCTCTTCGGACTCCACGCACAACTTCCCACTACTGTCCTTGACCGGCCCCCATCTTACTCTAGTCATTCTTTTATTCCTGACATACCTGTAGAAAGCTTTAGGGTTTTCCTTGATCCTACCTGCTAAAGACTTCTCATGTCCCCTCCTGGCTCTTCTTAGCTCTCTCTTTAGGTCCTTCCTGGCTAACTTGTAACTCTCAAGCGCCCTCACTGAGCCTTCACGCCTCATCTCTACATAAGCCTCCTTCTTCCTCTTGACAAGAAATTCAACTTCTTTAGTAAACCACGGTTCCCTCGCTCAACCACTTCCTCCCTGCCTGACAGGTACATACTTCTCAAGGACACGCAGTAGCTGTTCCTTGAACAAGCTCCACATTTCAATTGTGCCCAGCCCCTGCAGTTTCCTTCTCCATCCTATGCATCCTAAATCTTGCCTCATCGCCTCATAGTTGCCTTTCCCCCAGCTATAACTCTTGCCCTGCTTTATATACCGATCCCTTTCCATCGCTAAAGTAAACGTAACCGAATTGTGGTCACTATCACCAAAGTGCTCTCCTACCTCCAAATCTAACACCTGGCCTGGTTCATTACCCAGTACCAAATCCAATGTGGCCTCGCCTCTTGTTGGCCTATCTACATACTGTGTCAGGAAACCCTCCTGCACACATTGGACAAAAACTGACCCGTCTGAAGTACTCGAACTATAGCGTTTCCAGTCAATATTTGGAAAGTTAAAGTCCCCCATAACAACTACCCTGTTACTTTCGCTCCTATCCAGAATCATCTTTGCAATCTTTTCCTCGACATCTCTGGAACTTTTCGGAGGCCTATAGAAAACTCCCAACAGGGTGACCTCTCCTTTCCTGGTTCTAACCTCAGCCCATACTACCTCAGTAGACGAGTTGTCATCAAACGTCCTTTCTGCCACCGTAATACTGTCCTTGACTAACAATGCCACACCTCCCCCTCTTTTACCACCTTCCCTGATCTTACTGAAACATCTAAACCCCGGAACCTGCAACAACCATTCCTGTCCCTGCTCTATCCATGTCTCCGAAATGGCCACAACATCGAAGTCCCAGGTACCAACCCATGCTGCAAGTTCACCCACCTTATTCCGGATGCTCCTGGCATTGAAGTAGACACACTTCAAACCACCTTCCTGCCTGCCGGTACACTCCTGCAACCTTGAAACCTTATTTATGACCTCACTACTCTCAACCTCCTGTACACTGGAGCTACAATTCAGGTTCCCACCCCACTGTTGAATTAGTTTAAACCCTCCCGAAGAGCATTAGCAAATTTCCCCCCCAGGATATTGGTACCCCTCTGGTTCAGGTGTAGACCATCCCGTTTGTCGAGGTCCCACCTACCCCAGAATGAGCCCCAATTATCCAGGTATCTGAATCCCTCCCTCCTGCACCATCCCTGTAGCCACGTGTTCAACTGCTCTCTCTCCCTATTCCTCACCTCGCTAGCACGTGGCACGGGTAACAAACCAGAGATAACAACTCTTTGTTCCAGCTCTAAGCTTCCACCCTAGCTCCTTGAATTTCTGCCTTAAGTCCCCATCCCTTTTCCTACCTATGTCGTTGGTGCCTGTGTGGACCACGACTTGGGGCTGCTCCCCCTCCCCCTTAAGGGTCCCGAAAACACGATCTGAGACATCACGGACCCTGGCACCTGGGAGGCAACACACCAACCGCGAGTCTCTCTCGTTCCCACAGAATCTCCTATCTGTCCCCTAACTATGGAGTCCCCAATGACTAATGCTCTCCTCCTCTCCCCCCTTCCCTTCTGAGCAACAGGGACAGACTGTGTGCCAGAGACCTGTACCCCATGGCTTACCCCTGGTAAGTCATCCCCCCCAACAGTATCCAAAACGGTATACTTGTTTTTGAGGGGAATGGCCACAGGGGATCCCTGCACTGTCTGCCTGTTCCCTTTCCATCCCCTGACTGTAACCCATCTACTTTTTTCCTGTACTTGAGGTGTGACTACCTCCCCGTAACTCCTCTCAATTACACCCTCAGCCTCCCGAATGATCCGAAGTTCATCCAGCTCCAGCTCCAGTTCCCTAACACGGTTTCTGAGGAGCTGGAGTTGGGTGCACTTCCCGCAGATGAAGTCAGTGGGGACACTAGTGGTGACCCTTACCTCCCACATTCTACAGGAGGAGCATACAACTGCCCTAACATCCATTCCCACTGTTCTGAATTCCCAAACAGACAAATTTAAAAAAAATATACTCGTAGCCTTACCAAATCAGCGCTCAGAACCTTTTTTTTTGGTTAGAGGAGGAGGATGGGTGGGAGACACTACCTAGGTAGTGTTTCGGGTAAAGCAACCGCCCAAATATATTACCTCACTTACTCCAAAAATGGAGTCACGCGAGGTAAAACTTTTATAACCGAAAAGCTCACCTTCCCAGGCTGCCCTCGCGCTTCCTCCCGGACTCCCGCCGCTGAAACAACTGAAAGGCACAGCTCAGGGAAATCAGTTATCTTTGTTTAAAAGTTGTGAAGCTTCCAGACCGGAAGTATTTGGTTAAAGACATAGTTTTAAGGACCATCCTTAACGTAGAAGAGAGATGAAGGAGGGAATTTCAAAGTCAGACCCCAATTGTAGAGCAATTATAAGTGGGGATGCATAAAAGGCCAGAAAGTAGATATCACAAAGGGCTATGGGAGGTAAGAGGTTATGAAGATTGGGAAAGGCAAAGCTACTGAGAATTTCAAAATGAGAATTTTCAAGTTGCTTGAGTAGGAGCCAGTGTAGGTCAGTGAGCATAAGTGTGATAGGGAAACGGAGCTAGCAAGATAACGAGTAATAGAATGAGTGAAACCAGCAGGAGTGTGTTGGAATAGTAAAGCCTCGAGGTACCTAAGCCACACCTAAAGGCTTCATCAACAGAGGAGCTGGAACAAGGACTGGGTTGCGGTGTTACAGAGGTGGAAATGTGCAAGCCTTTACTGATGGTATAGAATATAAAACTAGGTTCATCTCAGTCAACAAACATGACAGCAAGTTGTGAATGAACTGGTTTAATCTCAGGCTGTTATTAGGGAGAGGGATGGTGTTGGGAACTGCTGGAACTAAATAGCAGCGTTTGACTGTAGGAGGCAGGAGATTATAATGGTTTTTATGCAGACCAGCCTTGTGAATCACAGATTATATTAACCATCAGAATTCCACAGGAATACCAATCACCTGTTGGTTTCTGGAGGAGAAATTCTGGGTGATACATTGACAGTGCACACGTGCGTGTGTGAATTTTACACGACTGGCTTTATCTACCAACTCCCACCAGGAGAATTGTGAACTGGTACATAATCGACACAAGCTGCAATGTGACCAGCTTGGCAGAAAGAGTGTGTCACAAAGTTGGTGGAATCGATGCACCGAGGCTCTAATTCAATCATCAGGCTTCCTCTGCCCCCATTACCCTTACCCCAACTGGCAGGCTGTATTAGAGAGCAGTAACTGGGATGGGCATGAAATAAATCACAGGGAGCCCTGATGCAGAGATGACCAAATGGACACAATACGATCATCCAGAAGATCACTGACTGCTATAATCCCATCAGCCTGGGCATCAAAACAGACTGGAGACAAATTCTACCAGTACTGATGGTCATAGAGAGCTGGAGCTTTATCTGAAATTGTGCATATGCTTTCGATGCAACCTCTGTTCACTCACTTATATTAACATCATAATCCCACTGGGAACCAGAAACTTGTCTGAACCAGTGCTCGCTCACTCAGCAGCTAGAAATGCCCAGCGATGAGTTCAGTTAGAACATCTTATCGTCTCCGGGATGTTTACTTTCAAAGTGTCAGATACGAAGTGAGGTTTGCTTTGAAGTTTGTCCCCTTACAATATTTTTTCCTCAAAAAACTGTCTGTGACTGAGTCACAACCCTCTCCACGGGAGAGACAGGGACAGAGCAGAACGCTCACTCCTGGATTCCCACCAACACCCGCCTACCCCTGGATCTCAGTACCCTCCAGCCCTGTGTGCTCCCTCTCTTGTCCTCTCCACTCAACTCAATCCCACCCCTATCACATTTACCTGCTCTTCAACACCTTTGTTCAAATAGGTAGAGGAAGAGCACAAGATGGCCTCATGGTGTAAGTATACAGGTGACTCCTGATTCAGAGACTCTCGGAAGAAATAGCTCATAATTCCCAGTGCAATCTATTGGAAGTCCTTTCTGAAACATCCCTAACCCTATTGCAGCAGCAATAATTCTGTGCAGTTCCTCTGTTCACCTCCCATTGCTGCCAGAGACTGGGTCCCAGTTACAAAGCATTTTTTTCTCAGGGGGAACAGAGTTCCAAAAGGACCTCACTCCAAAAAAAAACCCAACATTGAGCCATGAGCATCAGATTTATCATCACCCAACTCCCATCCAAATAAACAAACAATAACTGCTGTTGGTGTATACTTTGTTCTTTAAAACTCCTTGTCTCCCTTTCTGATTTATATTCTGTGGGATGGAGAGTTTCTAGGACTAAATCCACATTCCTGCCCATCACTGGATAAACCAGAGCTTCTGATGTGGCCTACAAACTGGAGAAACCATTACCTAAATCAAGCAAAATTATTTTTATTGTACAGTGCAGTCTTTGGTTTTATTTTCATTTTCTGATCAACTTTTCATTTTGCGTTTCCTCTGAGGTTGACCTTTGGCCTTAGAACTCAGGCCTCGATGAGCTTTACCCTTGAGTGTAGAGCCCATGAATTTGGAGTTGATCAGGTGAGTCCCAATAAGTCGGTGCTTCCTCCCTTTTATCTCCCTCTTTTTGCTTCTGCCTGAGTCTGAGCTGGTGGCCTTCTTGCTGGGTGCTTTCTCAGGACCCTTAGCCTGCTTCCTGACCAATTGTGGGGATTTGTTCCTCTTCCTTTTTCCCTGCAAAGCTCCTGGAAATAGATCTGAGGAAAAAAATGCAAATCAGTTCTGAAAAACATAATGCCAACAAGGAAAAAAATAAATGTCACAATTGATAAACCGTGCAGACAAGTTAACAGGATCCAGTGGAGTGCCTTTTACTAACTCTGTCCCAAACAGTGTCTGCTCCATCTGCGACACATTGTGATAGCACATGTCTCAATGGGATAAAGGGAGATTTGTGTGCGCTCTTACATCAATACTGTATGCCATTCAAGAAATATAAGGCCAACTTTAACCATGAATCTGCAGGATCAGCTGGAACTATGGGTTAAAATGAGTACCACACCCCATTTCCAAGGCAAACAAGTGAGATTAAAATCGCTCCTATTGTGTTCTGCCTTTGTTGAACTACAAATTATGTTAACACCCTTTGAGTTGTTTATTATTCATTTTCGCGTTCACTCATGGACAGTTCTGTTAAAAACCCACAGACATTATACATTTCTGGAATGTTTCTCTATCCAAGTGCCAGTCACTGCCATGGGTTTTTACAATGACCTATTCTAAAAGCAGGCCCACATAAGATTGCAGAAATGAGCTGTGTCAATCACATTTGAGTGTATTCAATGTAGCCACAGAATGCTACTTAAATCCAAACAGTTGGCTGTCAGACAGAGCATGTGGATAAGACCCCAAGACTTGCTGCCTAAGAACTGCATTCCCTTTTGTTCTTGTGCATACATTGAAGGCTTCAAGTAGAAAGTAAAGTTTGTAAATGACCTTTGTAAAGTTAAATTTTATTTTTGTTTAAAATATAAAAGCAATGTACTTTTGAGGCAGCATAGCTAAAAATGTTCCCAGGAATCTGTTCAGCCAACAGCATGAAGTTCATATATTGCTCATTGTTCGTCATCATTTTGGAATTCATTGTTATGGGTAATTACAGTTGCTTTACTTCTAACTGACCTTTGGTTGTAGAGAACATTCACAGCAATGAAGGTCACAGATTAATGTTGGTGATAAATTATGAAAAGACAATGCAGGTTTAGGGAAGGCTTCAGAATAAAAACTTGACATGATCACGTAAGAGACTAGAGAGCTTTCTCTTTTGCAATGATAAACTGAAATGGAAGCTGAACAGCTGTAACTCATATATAATGAGAGTTTAAAGGAACACAGCAGGCCAGGCAGCATCAGAGGAGCAGGAAAGCTGACCTTTCATTTTCTGAAGAAGGGTCCCAACCCAAAACGTCAGCTTTCCTACTCCTCTGATGCTGCCTGGCCTGCTGTGGTCCTCCAGCTCGACATGTTGTTGTCTCTGACTCCAGCTTCTGCAGTTCTCGCTATCTCTATTACAATGAGAATTTTGCAACTTAAAAACCAAGTGCTGCATTTTGGAGCTGTGTGGTGTAGTGTTGTTTTTGGAAACCGTGAGAGGGAGAATTTGAGGCTGAGCGGTGCTTGGAGACTTTTGAGTCAAGGAAATTCTGCCTGACAACAGCACTGTGATTGGCTGAGCTGTAATGCATTAAAAAACTACGAGGCAGCAGAGAAAAATATCCATAGCCTGTGAACTGAAAGCATCCAGCTCCCCCTCTCCATATGGAGAAACAGATAGAAAAAGAACAAGCAGGCTTAAAAGAAATAATTCTAACAAGACCTAGGTCTACCTGATCAGCCACTGGAGGAGCATTTCCTTTTTGCTAAAATCAAAACGACTGAGAGAAAATAGCTTAACAATGGCCTAGACTTTTGACCTTTGGAATTCCGTTTACTTCTCAATTCTTTTTTCACCCATACTGTGTTAAAACTATATGACTTTTGTCTGTGTTGTGATTAAGCATATGTAGATTTGGAGTTTTGAAGGAGCTCAATTTAAATTGTATAGTTGGAGATTAGAAATTCTTGCTTTTCTTTGTGTTTTGTTAAAGTGTGACAATAAACTGCTATTCTTTACTATTCCTGTAGGTACCTGGTATGAACTGTTTTTGTCCTGAGTAGCCATCAGTGGAACAAATAGATCAACTTGGTGGTTTCATTGGGATTTTATACATTCTATTACAGCTTGTATAATGAGGTATAATTATCAGCCACACTTCCCAGCGCAGCCATAACAATAATAGTTGAAATTAATGTTCCTAAACATTAATGAAGATACCTGACACTGAAGGAAAGAGGAAGGTTTCTGTTTAATTTTGTGACTTGACCCATTATCTTATATAGATTGGACCAAGAGATCCCAAACAAACAATGAATTTCTGCAGCAGACAGGTAGCAGGTTTATTTAAAACCAACACACCCAAGTCTCTGATTGACATAAAGACCCAAAACGATCATTAATTTCCTTTAGGAAATCATAGATTATAATAGAATTTCTACAGTGTGGAAACAGGCCCTTCAGCCCAACAAGTCCACATCGATCCTCAACACATTCCACCCAGACCCATCCCCCTATAACCCACCTGATCTACACATCCCTGAACACTACAGGCAATTTAGCATGGCCAATCCACCTAGCCTGCACATCTTTGGACTGTGGGAGGAAACCGGAGCACCCAGAAGAAACCTATGCAGACACGGCGAGAATGTGCAAACTCCACACAGACAGTTGCCCGAGGCTGGAATCAAACCCAGGTCCCTGGCGCTGAGAAGCAGCAGTGTTAACCACTGAACCACCATGCCGCCCCATCTGCTACCTTTACCTGGTCTGGCCTCTTCACAACTCCAGACCCAGAGCAATGTGAATGAGGCTGAAGAGCCCTCTGAAAGTGACAACAAACCAGTCAGTTCGAGGGCAATCAGGGATAGGCGACAAATACTGGCCCTGCCAGTGACACCTACATCTCATGGAAGAAGAAAACAAAACAAACGTCGGCTTCACGAGCTCTGCTGATACTGTCAAAGGTGTTCTCTCGTCAAACATCAGCAATCTTTGATAAAGTGAAATAAACTTACCGTCATCTGGCTCAACGCCAACCTCTTGGCGATAATACTCTCGGTCTGAGTCACTGTTATCCTGGTCACTCTGAATCCCCTTCTCCTCAGTGCATGGGTCCTCAACCTCCTCTTCGTCTTTGTCACCCTCAACATTCTTCCCCATTCCAGCCAGACTTCTTTTCCTGAAATAAAGATATGAAGATGAAGGATGACGTTCCTGATTTTCAGTCCAGTTGTGATCCATTTCTCTGAGCCAATCTCCCTGCAGCCTCCTACTCAATGCTCCCTCTGCGCTGCTTCTTCCTCACTCTGTCTCACTCCCTATCAGGATGTGTTAGCAACCTCACTGCCATCACCCACATACTGATACCCACAACCTTGGTGTCTCTCAGTCACTAACACTCCAGTTGCAGCTCCTGCACTAACGGCTGGCCACATCTCATTGACATTCCTACTCACTTTGTTCACCCGACCAGAAAGTGAGAGTGGAAGGAGAGATTGGATGGAATTAATTATTATATAAACATTGGGTGCATTTAGATTGAAAAACAGATAGATGCAGCAGAAGTTATTTTTACAGGGTCTAGATTATGACAGATCATTTGCTCTGTCCAAATGCAAATTTAGTCTACAGGATCGAGTGAGTGATCCAGCGATGGGAGCAAGTGATCAAATCCAATACAAATTAGATGGATTTTTTTTTTTTTACATAGGGACAGGAGCAGGTCATTCAGCCCATCAATCCTACCTGCCATTCTAGATTATGGCTGATTATTGACCTCAATGCCATTTCCCCACACCATCTTCAATCCATCGGGGTCATTAGTCTCCAGTAATTTATCAATTTATGTTTTGAACCTAGTCAATAATCGAACTTTCACAGCTCTCTAGGGCTGGTTCTAGAATTACAGGGAAAAACATCTGATCTAGGTCCACCCTGTCATGCTGAGTAAGGATTGTGTAGAGTTACATGAGATCACCTCTCATTCTTTAAAACCTTACAGTATACAGAACTAGTTTCCTCAATTTCCCCTCACAACACAATCCTGGCACTGAGAATGATCCATAACTCCATTACCATTTGATTATGTGATTCCCAGAGAGATCGGGAGGGAGTTACTTGGGCTGTCACTGTGTACAGTCCCCATGTTGAAACTAAAGATGTGGATCAGTGGACTCAGGAACAAGAGCAAGCACAGATAATGGCACACTCCTGAGGCAATGATGGCCTGGGTCTGCACTGCCAGCGTGAGAGTCAGGAGGTGATGTAGCTGGTGCCAGTGGAACAGTGCTCCAATGGTGGTGGAGCGTGAACATGGAGGGTGGGTTCACTCACTTGTGCAGCTCACGCTCCCTCTGTTTGCGACGAATGTCTCCTTCTTGTTTTTTGCGTCTTTCTTCTTTCAGCTTCTGTCGTTTCTCTCGCTGCTGAAGTATCTCTTGGAGTTCCTCCTCTGTCTTTTGGACTGGGGACAGAAAGATTGGATACATTACGCAGCCATTTGTAAACACCACCTTCTTGAAAATACTGTTTACATCTCTGGCTTAACGGGAAAACCCTTACAAACTTAGACCCATTATTTACCTGACAGCCCTGCAGTGAGAGGACATTTGACCATGAACAGTGTCACAGCAAAATAGACAGTGTATTCAGTGAACAGGGGCTTTGAGAGCACTGCCTACTGGACACTACGGTGCTCCCAGCGTTGGCCTGACATCACGGGGTGTGTCTGGGATCTTCCTCTGCTCTGGGTTGCTGCAGGACCAACACGTGGAGCCACTTTCTCTCTAAACCCCTCAGCACCACAATGTCAGTCAGTTCTTTTAGGGAACAACGTGAGCAAGGCTCAAAAAGGAGATTTTCAAAAACAGACATGTTCCCACCTCTGGCCTCATCAAAGCATCAAGTCCCCACATCCACAACAGGTAACTACACCCACCCCACCTCCCATACCGACAGGTGAGCCTGACCCCTGACCCTACACCGACAGGTGAACCTGTGACCCCTGCCCCCACACCGACAGGTGAACCTGTGACCCCTGCCCCCACACCGACAGGTGAACCTGTGACCCCTGCCCCCACACCGACAAGTGAGTCTGACCCCCTGACCGACAAGTGAGCCTGTGACCCCTGAACCCACACTGACAGGGGAGCCTGTGACCCCTGACCTCCTCGCCTATAGATCAATGAACCCATAGCCTCTGTCCGTTCACTGATACTTACTGAATGAATGATACATCACTTGTCCATCACACATCCCCTCCTGAATCTTCACCAGCTCCAGGGACAATCGAGGGCCAATCTAAAGGGTGGGATTGCACAAAGAGGTAGGGTTAGAGTTAACATGAACATTGCTGCCAGCCTGAGCCTGTCCCCTCAGGTCTGAAATCAGAGTACAGCTGGATCACAGTGAGACAGGTCACCACGTCTCTAGTTAACATGGAACCTCAGCTTTAGAAGCCTGAGGCTAGGACACTGGCTGACAGCCCCCACACCCTCTCGTCGCCATCCCCGCCGAGGGCAGTGACAGCAGGCAGCAATGGTCTGGCAGGGGGCGTTGGTTGTGTCAGCACACTCCTGATGTGTAACCTGGAATGGTCTGCTCAACGGTGGCTGATACATTAATTAATTGCCTGCTCCCCTACAGTGTAACAGATACTGAATGTCAATGGAGAAGGTTCTCAATGAAACTAACTGCCAACAGAGTGCAGTTGCTCCTATCTGGGCCACCTGACGAACAGGAGGGTGGAGTTTCTAGCAGTCAGGCACAGCTCCTTTCCCAGTACTCAGGCTATCCTCCAGATGGGGCCCAGGCTCCGAGAGGCTGCAAACAGAAAGTGGACCCACTGGCACTGACCTCGGTGAGTCGAATGGCGCTCTGCTGGGCTTTCAGGTTCCCCCGGCCTGCATAGACCTGCGGCAGCTCCGTTATGTTGTGTTCGCCATCCTGTTCAGCTTCACTCTCAGACAGATTGGCACCCCTGCAGTTCAGACAGAAGGAAATTGCTCAGGATCTCGCTTTATTAAGGGGAGATTGGGATCAAGCACACGACAGAGCCCAATGAAGGACCCAGTGAGAGAGGGGAGAAAAACTAAAGCGGCACCAAGCTGTGGTTTAGACTCAGTGGACTGTTAGTGGATAAATACCCTGACAATTCTGTGGTTGAATGTGAGAGGATGGAGAGAGGGAGATAGACAGAATGGCAAATCCAGAGGGAAATCAAAGAGAAAGTTATGTCATTAAACAGCCAGGAAACCTGAGTATCTGTGACTCAAACTGGCAACACGCGAGTGTGACCATGTGCCTTACACCTGCACTCTCATCCAGAAGGCCAGTCAGTGAAGGACACAACTAAAGCCAATCTTTAAACAATTTTATAGCATTTACGTACAAAGTTATACATCACAAGCTCAAACATCCTAACCCCAAAGCCACAGTTTCACGTAGTACCAACGGGGAATTGCAAGGGAATGCCGACCATCCACATATAATTAATACAAAGTTAATAATCCAAACCCTTAATGAGCGGGAGCAGGACGTCACTGAATACAACAGATAGCTCCTGCCCCATACAGACAGACTGCTAAATACCAGAGCCAACAGAACTAAAGCTGAGGGGTGTTTAATCATCTCAGTGACGGTAGCAAAGTCTGCAACCTAGCCTAATAGACTCTGTTTTTTCCTAAGAGTCTGCCAATATACTTCCAACAGAAAAGAAATTTCTTACATAAGGGAATAAAACAAATGCTATTACACCAGACAAAAACAATTGGAATGATCTCGTTACAAACATCAGAAAGATTTATCTCTTACAGATAAATATCACTTACAGACGCTTCGACCTCGGTGCGTCCTCCCTATCCCCACACTAAAGCGCCTTGCTCAGCTGGAACAGCTCTCATTGATTTATTCTGGCATATTTCTTTACATTCACCAGATAATATTTCTTCAGCAAATCTCTCTCCTCAAGGTCCTCAAAAACAAACTGCCACCTCAATCTATTGTTTAATGAGGGCTCCCTAAACTCATGTCTTCAACAGCTGAGCTGGACTTTTCTACCTGACACCCCCACAGCTATCTACTCACTGACTTCAAAATAACTCACAACCTCTCCCCAGCCCGGATCACTTGAAAATTGCTAATGACACCACTTCTGCTGTTATGGGCCTCTTCGCCCAGTATAATCCAACTTCTGACCCTCTCTCTCTGGTGGCTGTAAAACTCAAGTCATCAAATATCTTCAAAACTATCTCCGCACACAGCTTGCTGGTGATTGAGCTGAAACCACATGGTTTGATGAACTGAAGACTCAAAATAACTTGGGACCTTTTAAACAAAAACAAACCAGATCTACAGAGAAATGAAAAACTAAAACAGATTTTCCTTTCCTATTAGAATCTAAATTCCGAAATAATGATATCACGAACCTTGCTAACAGGGCTAGCTCGAGACAGAAAGGTTGTGAAACTCTGTGACTTACTTCATCAGCAGATCGCTGATATCTTCAAATCTGCTCATGTTCGGGAACTTCTCCTGGAGCAGCTTCTTCACTCCCCGGCTCATCCCAACAGGAATCACTTTAATGGAGCTGCAGACAGGAAAGATAAGCCCATTACAAACAAGGTTACACAGAAGGGCAAGAAGCCATTCAGCCCCAAAAGCCAGCTGTGTTAATAAATCAGAGTCGATCTGTCTAATCCTCTTAACTCAATAAATAACTAACCAACCACAGCCTTGAAATATTCAAGTGACCCTACACCACTCAGGGAGGTGTTGTCCTCAAGGCACTATACAGCAAAACATCTTTGTTCCAGTCTCAAATCCCCTTGCGATGAAAGCCAATGTATAATTCACCTTCTTAGTTTTGCTGTACCTTTGGACAAGCTGTTAGTGACTCATCCACAAGATTTATGTTCCCTTTGGACATCAATGCCTCTCCAATCTCTTGCCATTGAAGAAACTTTCTGTGGTTCTGTATCTTCCCCTGAAGTGGACAACTTCACATTTATTCACATCATATTCCATCGGCCATGTTCTAGCCTATTCACTCACAAATCTCCTTGATGCTCCTTTGCAACATCACACCCCAATCCTCCTCCCCTTCATAAACTCCATCTAGTGCTGTGCCTTCAATTTGATTGGGTGCTTATATCCAAATCATTGATAAGATTTGGGAACACAGCACTGACCCTTACAGCTCCCCATTTGCTACAACCCGTTCATTCTCAATGCTTGTTTTTGCTCTGTTAACCAATTCTCAATCTATACACATCATCCGTAATCCCATGTGCTCTAATCTGTTTACCTACCTGCTGTGTGTGATCTTATCAAAGGCCTTCTGAAAATTCAAATACACATCTAACAGTTCTCCTCTATCTACGCTATAAGTAACATCCTCAAAAAACACAAGTTTGATGAACATGATTTCCCCTTGACAAGTGCACATTGACCCTGCCCAATCAGATCCCCAATCCCCACTCGCGAGAATCTGTGGGTAACTCATTGATACTCCGCACAGCCCAAGACTCGGGGAATAATCTCCTTCTCCCACACCCGTCTTCAAAGCGGTAAAGCAGGGCTGAGACATGGGATGTTCACTCACTAGTGTCTGATGTCGACCATCTGTGTACTGGAGTTGTAATTGATCAGAACACACCTTTTAACAGTGTTCAACCCGACCTGTAAAGGAACCGACATGACAGGGTTAGGGCACAGGAAACAGCAATGCAACGCACTGGACAACACTGCTTCAACGTAGAACTCAAACAGGACATCTGCACAGCGTTAGATTCAGGCACCGCAGTAAAATCCACCCAGACTGGGCATACAGATCCTGGCCAGCAAGCACACTGCACAGCAATTAGCATCACCAGTCCAATCAGTTTGATTCTTTCGCCGAGCTCAGGGGACTGAGAGTAAATACAGAGATACTGCTGACGTCTGGATCAGCACAGATCAGCAGCAGAAACATGGTGCTGATGGTTTTCATGAGTCAGTTTTACAACAACTTGCACTTACACAGTGCCTTTACTGCTGTAAAACACCCCAAAGTAATGAGCCACAAAAACAGATATTGGTGCAGGAGACTGAAAGCTTGATCAGAGAGAAGGGGGTGAAGGTGCATCTTAATGGAGGGAAGAGAGAGGGGAGAGAGCGCGAGAGGGAGCGGACAAGAGGGTGAGCAGCAGAGCGGGAGAGAGAGCTGGAGAGCAGCTGAGCGAAGTCGGGGGGAAGAGGGAAGAGAGCAGAGAGAGAGACAGAGCACACGAGAGACAGTGCGAGTGAGGGAGCAAGAGAGAGAAGATTCCAAAGGCATGGCTGTCAATGCTGGACTCATGTGGTTGACTCTTAACTGTCCTCCGGCAATTAGGGATGGGCAATAAAATAAAACCTCAAACTGATAAGACCGAGTGAGAATTGGAGAATTTCATTTATTTCCGGTCTGTCCCTCCCAAACTGCCAGGCCCCTTCCCCTGCACCACACACACGCACACACATCCACACCACCCCCTCCAAAAAAAAACCATGCTCCTACCTTATAGACATTGATCGATGGGAACATATTCTGGAACACAGTCGCCATCAGCTTGATGTGCATTCCATCGCCTCCAAAGTTACTCAGCACTAGTAAAGCATGATGGTAAAACTGTTGCTCATGCATCCGGTGTCTCTTCAAGGAGGAGACCACGTCTTTCACCAGGGAATACTGGGAAAGACAAGAAACACAGGGTAAACCTGGGGAAAGTGGCTCAGAATGTTTCAAACCCCTGAAGCCAGCGGTGATGTAGTAAGAGCTAGCTTGAACTTTTACCCAGAAGTCAAGGGCATTAGACCAGAGAAAGGGCCCGTGGGATCTCATGATGAGACATTCGAGTGCAGCTGATCAATGAGGAAGAGAATTGGTCGGCCAAATGGTTAAATCCTTTCAAATCTGAGAATCATAAATGGGGGAGATGGAGGCAGGGCCAGCTGGGGTGGCAGATGGTGGGGTTTCTCTGTGCCAGGGTTGGGGTGAGCAGGGTGAAGGAAGGGGGGAAATAAGCAGGAGAGAAGTCTGGGTCAAGGGGAGGGAAGCACTGGACAGGTGGAGGATACATACTGTGAGCTGTTTTGAACAATGTTAAAGGACCTTTAGCTTTCACACAGGCTGTCGGTCAATGTAACAGGGGCTTTGATTTACTAGCTCGTTTAAAGAAAGAGGGCCTCAGACAATGTCACACTGCCCCAGTCCTGCACTGTGACATGGGCAGGCTCAAATTAGGTCCAGATCCTGGACTCACCCCATGTGCTTGGGGCTCAAACCAAAAATCACGTCTTTGGAGGTCAGTACACAAAAGGCTTCCCACAGAGATTGAAAGGAGCTTAGGGCACTCCAACAAGTCAGCAAGCTGAGCGAAATACTCTTTACTAAAGATGAATAATACTGACAAAACACACTTCAGACAGTGAATGACTAAACACTAAAGTTAATACTATTCAATTTCCTCAATCCCAGTGATCACATGATCCAGTGATGATAGAGATCTCAGTAATCACAGGGATCAATCTCCAGCGATCAGTCTTTAACAATCTGGTTAGATATCCAAAGTGGATTTGACAAGATAATATCAAGACTGAACAATTTAGCAATTCGTTCAATAACTTATTTGGAAACTATCTGCCAGAGAAATGATACTTGGATTATCAGGTGTGTGCCAGATCAGAGCTGCACTAGGGGCCACTGACCTTACAATGAAGCTGCGATAGGAAACCTGAATAGGAACACTTACTTGGTGCACTTTGAACGTGAGTGTGGGGCCTCTTGGTAAACGGGCAATTTTCTGAAGGATGGTTGGAAAGAAAAAGCAAGTCAGTAATCTGAAGACAATCCCACACACATACATGTCAAAAACATTTTCCCAGCCCAACATCAACATCGCCTCTAAGCCAAGACAGGGCAGCAGATGGTTAGTTTCCAGGGCCTCTGTTAAACTGATATTGCAACTGGATGTCAAGATAGCAATAGCTCCTCTTCCCTCCAGCAGGGTACAACAGTGTGACAGTTTCTGTAAGTTAGTGTGACTTTATTTTATAATGTTTCAATGTGCCTTTCATGACCATTTCTTTAAGCTACATTTTAGGGGTAATTCTCCACTGATAGTGTTTGGAATGGGATGATATTCCCATTGCAACACAGAACCAAGTCAATTCACCACCTGGTGGTTGAACTGGACTGGTAGTTCTGAAGGGGTCTCGGATCTCAGTAAAGTGCGGTAGAAATATACTCAGAGTGCCACTGGATTCTGTCTTCACAGCTTTTGATTAGTGATGAAAGGTGTCTTTTGATTTTGCATCATCTCAGTTTGCATTCCCAAAGTCAAATTTCTATTTATATCTTGATTTAAAATTTCTTCACTAACATCTACATTGTTGAATGGTTTAACAGGGATCTATTAGCAGCTTCGTAGATATCTTATTTCAGACTAATTTTGTCCCTCATTGATTTTCAAATGATAAAAGAATTATTAAAAGTTTTAACACCTATTATTGAAATGTTCTTTTCCAGTAATCTATTGATGTAATTTATAAAACTGATTGATAATAGAATGCATTGGTATTATTCCAGTGCAGTATCTGTCAGTGGATAAACTGATCAGCAAACAGCTGAGTCTGAGAGATGACCTAATCAAGCTCTGTGAAGCAATGACAGGTTTTGCCCAAGTTTCCTCCGGAGGGGAAGAGCAGAATTAGAAGCCATTAACAGAAGATGGGTCACCAAGCAATCACATCAGGAATTCAGGAGAAATGTCTTCACCCAGAGAATGGTGGGAATACAAACCTCACTCCCACAGGGAGGGACTGAAGTGCATTGTATGGGGAGAGAAAGCATTTGCGGGGCAAGATGTTAGAGGGCCAAGATAAAGAAGAGATGGGAGGAGGCTCGAGGAGAGCAGAAACACCAGCATGAATTAATTGGCCCAAATGACCTGTTTCTAAGCTGTACATTCTGTATCGTATCAGGAATGTGCTGAGTTGTAATCCCAGCAGGGAAAGTTAGAACATAGAACATTACAGCGCAGTACAGGCCCTTCGGCCCTCGAGGTTTCGCCGACCTGTGAAACCAATCTGAAGCCCATCTAATCTAAACTATTC